GGGCCGCCCGCGGGCCCCCCCCGCCAGGGGCCGCCGCCCCCCCCCGGGGTCGGTCCGCCACCTCCGCCCCCGCCGCGGCTGCTGCCTCCGGTCCACCCCGGCCCTCCCCCTAGGCCGCCGCAACTCTCGGGGTTGCCTCCGGTTGGAGCCCCTCCTCCGCCCTACCCGGGTCCGCCTGTCGGCGGCCCTCCCTTGCCCCCGCTCCCCCCGCCGCCGCCCCCGCCGCCGCCGCGCCCGATGCAGCAGGGGCCGCCGCCACCACCTCAGCCGCAGCAACAGCAGCAACAGCAGCAACAGCAGCAACAGCAGCAGCAGCAGCAGCAGCAGCAGCAGCAGGCGTTTGGTGTGCCTGGGGCCGGGGGAGCGGGGTTTGTGCCCTTTCCGGTGCCGCCGCCACCACCGCCGCCGATGATCGCGGGGATTATCGGCAACGCGCCCCCGCCCCCTCCCTCGCCGGGCTTGCACCAACAGCAGCAGCAGCAGCAGCAGCAGCAGCAGCAGCAGCAGCAGCAACAAGTCAGCGGGCAACCCGGTGGTGGTCCGCACATCCCCGGCGGCGGCGGAGAGCCGCCCCCGCCCCCTCCACCCGCCGGCGGCGGCAGCAGCGCCGCCATGTTTTCGGCCCCGCCGCCGCCCCCGCCGCCGCCGGAGATGGGCGGCTGCACCGGCACCGGCACAACCGGCGGTCCCGACCCCGGAGATAGTGGGACGCGGAACGGTTCGCAGAATGGGAGGGGGTCGCCGCCACCGCCACCACCACCGCCGATTGGGTCCGAGCAAGCTCCCCCGCCGCCCCCGCCGCCGCCGCCGCCGCCACCCGGCCCGCAGCAGGAGCAGGATCAGGAGGAGGAAAAAAAGCCAAAGGTGGCGCCTTTGTCGCCGTGGGAGATGGAACTGGCGAAAGCCGCCGGTACTTGGGAAGGCACCGGGGGGGTCGGGGACGAGAAGGAGCGGTGCCGGCAGTGGTGCATGATTGCCAAGGCGTCGCTGCAGGCGGAGGAGAAGGAGCGGGAGAAGGACAACAGGAGAGGGGAAGGGAAGGCAAGTAATCGCCGAAGCCAGTCGGCGTGGGCGCTGCTGCCCGCGCCAGGGGCGTCGTTGGGAGGTTTAGACAGGCGTACTGTGGTTTGGTGTCAAACAGCTTTAAGTTAGCACAGCATTTGCATGTTTTCGGTGTTGGTGGAGAGGTGCGCGTTTTTCTCAGAAAGACTGCGGAGGTCACCCATTTAGTCGTCACGAGCGTTTCGTCGAAGTGGATACGACGAAGGTTGCTGTGATGGTCTGCGAGTGTGTTTGTCAAGGAGATTGTTCTGCAGGCTACAGCAGCAATCAGATCCCGTGGGAATTTACTCGAGAGTCAAGCGAGTCGTACCATGTACCCAATCCACGAACAGTGCAATCCCTCCCGAATGGTCTTGTTGCCCCTCTTCACGTTTTTTTTGTGTCATGTGCGGTAAGCGCTCGGGGGATACTCACCCGTTGTTGGCATCCAACACGTGCTACTGCTTGGAATCAGAAGTCGTCGGCAGCATGCTTGTTTTTGTTGGGGTAGACTGGAATCGTCGGAAGCCGTCGGCTGGCTGTGCATGCTGATTTGTGTTTTTGGGCGGACACGGTCGCTTGCTCTTGTCGAGACCACCAACCGCCAACAGCAAAATCCAAACACCCACCACAACACGCCACGGCGCTGTTTCCACATCCAGTTGACCGGCGGGACAGCGAGGCACCAGCGGCTGCGCCAGCTGGTGGACGCGGCCGAGCTCAATTCCTCCTTCTTTCTGGTCCCGGGGCTGAACGACAAACAGGTGAGCTTGATGTCATGATTGCCTGTCTCGGGAGCAAGCCCTGACTCTCCCCGCGGAGGCTTGAGACGATGCCAGCCCCGTGCTTTTTTGTCCTCTGATTCTGTTTGACGTTCGCCGTGGGAAGTTGAGATGCTCAAGGAAGTCGATAGGTAGACGTGCCTTGGGTAAGAGTCAGGCAGAGATGCAGATGATGGGTGGACACAACAGGCATGTTCGCCTGCCGCCGCGTGTTGTGTAGAACGGGGTCTCGCCTGCGGTGATGGCTGGGGGCGAGCGAGCCAGCACAACCACCCCGTTACTATGTAGTTCAAGGTGGGGTTGGATAGACACGATACAAGTGACGCGAGGGGGCGGGAGTCGAATGGCCTGTACACGAGACAAATGGCCTAGGGTGGGCATGTCGAGTGGGGGTTCGTTCGTCCACAGCAACAGGCCCTTTGCCGTGCTTTCTCCGCACGAGCTCCCTGAAGCCGAGATAGACTTCCCGTTGAAAGACGGAGGGGGGGGGGGGGGGGGCAGTGTTGGGCGAGGAGTCGGCGTGCTCGTGTCGTGTACAAGCTCGTTCGGTACGTCTCGGCTCAAGCGCTTCAGATGTATTCAAGGCAGTTGCTTGCTACAATAGCCTTTGGCTGGTTTCAACGCTTCTACTACCCCTTTTTCGTGCACGCGCGTATCTCGTACTTGGGAAGCTCATGATATTTGTTGCATTTTCTGCTTGGGGGCCCATGTTCGAGGCACACTTCGAACGGCATCCATCTACACCTCCCACCCTCTTCCCCTCCAAATCCAGCACCGGTACCTAACCCCCACGCCCGGGCACGGTCCGCAGGTTTTGCGCGTGCAGCGCCTGGTGTACAAGGTGGAGACGGCCTTCTCAAGCCTGGAAGCCGCCAGGGCGCGTCCGCCTCCTGTGGCATCGTTCACCCAGTCAACCACGTCGTCCTCGAGCTCCCGCTCCGGCCAATCACGACGCGAAAGCGGTGGCGGAGGCGGCGGGATCGGCAGCAGCGGGGTTTCCAGCGCCGCGTCGTCCCGTGGGGGCGGCACCGCGCCAGCGGGGACGCCCGCGAAGCGTCCCCGGTCTCGAGGGCCCGGGGATGATGAGGATGATGACGGTGACCTTGACGCTCTGGTCAATGGAGGCGGGGCGGGTGGCGGTAGAGGGGGAGGGACGGGAGGGGGAGCGAAGAGAAGCAGGAACAGCAGCACCGAGGCGTTCGTAAGGGCTGTTCGCTCGTGAAAGAGTTGCTGTAGCAGTTGTTCCGATGCAATCCGATGCATTTTGTTTTTTGGTGTGCTATTTTTTTTTTATCAGTTCAACATGTTGGGTCCAATCGTGGTTGTTGTTCCGCCCCCCGCCCGCTTTGAAGCGTTCCTCATCGTCTCTGTTGTGCTTGTCGGTGAATTTGTCCGCGGTGTCGAGGGGTCGCGACAAGGTTTGAGGAGGGACGTGTCCCCGCTCGTCGCGTACTCCAGAGCAGGGCAAGTAGCGGGCAGTTTGTGACGTTTTGTGCACGCCGTTGTTGATGCACGGTTTGTTGTCGTTACTCCATGAACGGGACACGTGTTGGCCGCGGTCAAGTGGTCAGTGAAGATCATTTTTTGGACGATATGACGCGGGGGCATGCAAAGGGGCTATGGAGGCTTGCGTAGTACAAAGCTCGGGTGGGAGGGAGACTGGTCGTGGAGCATGTGTGAGAAGAGTCGCGACTTGATTTACCAACCCCGACTACTAGGAACACAGAAGCAATAATAGTTTAGGCACGGCCGAGGATTGAAAATGTAAGCGCCAGCACAAGCCAGCATCCGTTTATTTGACGGCAGATGTAAAGGGGGGTGATGACCGATGGACCTGGGAGTGTGTATGTGTGTATCGTAGGGAGAGCGGGTAAGCAGAGACAGGCGCGATTGGTCAGCCGCTTTGCGCGGTCGATGCTAACAAATAATAGTATACAATTAGACGCGATGCACACCACGTTGAGACGCACACATCGCGCGACAACCAGTCAGCCTATGGAAGCCAGTACTGTACCAATAACATTGGGACCTAGCGGACAGTCAACACCGATCTCGGGAATACTCCCGCCCCCGGATGGAAAGTGCACATGGGGAGAGCATGTTGTATACATCGTGCATGTTGCGAGTGGGGCTGGCGTGTTGAGTGTGGGTATCGATTACACGCACAGACAGCTTCCACCGAGGCGGTGGTCCCTGGAAGAAAGTTGTCGATGCGGGCCGGCACGTAGCTCTCACATATGCTCCCTATAGTTCACTCGCTCGAAGAGATGCACTGTACAGTAGTACCAAGAACACAGTACATGCCTCAACTCCACGGCGCGTGAGCGAAGGCTGGGTTGGTGTCGCTCGAGATCTTGGAAAACTTACACACGGCCCGGTACATACGCTATACGGCCACTACACTCGAGAAACCTCAACCCGCGCGACTCAGACTGCCCCCTCTGGTAAGAAACCAGCGGAGAATACGACGTACATAAGTCCCAAGTTCTTGTTTCTGGAGTTTCGTAATAAGAAGACTGGGCCACCAAGATGCCGAAAGTGGCAAGTCCTTCGGTGGCATCCGTTCGTGCCTGTAGTCCGGAGACCAGTAGATTATTGTAGAAGTAAGCCGTTCAGCAAGGCTCAACGCTTTTACAGTTTCTCGCCGGTTGGCTCAGCAGGCTTTGGCAACGCTGCCCATGGCAGCGGAAAACGACCCTCTACGTTGCAGGAGGTCAGCCGTTCAGCAAGGTTCAACACTTTACAGTTTCTCGCCGGTTGGCTCAGCAGGCTTTGGCAACGCTGCCATGGCAGCGAAAAACGACCCTCTACGTTGCAGGAGGTCGTCAAGAGAGCGGCGCCGCGTACTTCGGCGGAATCCGGAGTCCGGAGGTAAATTACTCTGTTCACAAAAACAAATACAGTCTGGAGGTACTCCGATGTACGTCCACAATAGCTAACGTCCAATAAAATGCGGGAGGATCACACGAAACGGATGCCGAACTGTTGCTGCTCGGGGCTCCCATAGTGTACAGTTTCGCCGCAATTCTGTCAGCAAAAGGACCTACGTCCTTGTACATACGCGACGGTTGCCGACCCCGCGTGAGAGGGAGGGACGGCCCGAACAACATGTTCAAACCGCATGTAGGCAATTTTTGCTTCTCCCAGCCTAGACGAAGGACTGGTCGTTCTGAAATCGCGCACACTCGAGAGAGAGATGGGTTGGGGGGCCTGGAGTTGTGCTGTGCTTCTCGGTGCAGTTGCGGCAGTCGGGTCTGTCGTGTGGATAGGCCTTCTAGTGAGGTTGCACGTCCTCCGGCATGAGTTCGAGATTGCAGCGAGATCACCCCAGTTGGTGATATTGACCGGGTTCACCTGCTACCTGTTGACTCTATCAGTCGTCGTGCAATGGATGCTCCTGTGCGTGGGGACGAACATACCTTGCTGGGTTGTAATCTGGGTATCATACGCCGGTGAGTGGGGTTGTTGATGTTGCGTCCTAAACCGACTGCCAACAACATTTGACAGCACTACAATATCACCATCAGCGTAGCAGACCGTTCCGTACGAGAATGTGGTCACTGCTCTCAACACCGGGAAGGAATCGACTTCACGTGAGCGTCGTCGGCTGCGTTGCACGGGACAGTACCTACCTTGCAACATGGTCGACTAATAATGCCCTGCATTATACAACTGTAGTACTCATGCCTTGCAATATTGTATGCATAGAGGACTGCAATATTGTAGACGGCAGCTTCAAGTGTACTCGTGCCTTACAATACTGTAGACGAAAGCTCCTCCGCGTGTGGGACTTCCCGCATACACTACTGTACAGCACCTGTTCAACCTCAAGAGAAAAAATACATGTAGCCACCTCCCAGATACCACGATATGCGCCTTCCTGTGTGCTCGTTCTATTTTTAGTATGGCGACGGCAGTCCCCCCATTTTTTGTGGTGAGACGTAAACTACAGCACAGTACACGTGTTTTGTGAATGTAGAGCAATACCTTTTCAGTGTTTTTTTCTTACAACTATAACCATCCCGGGGGGTCACACAGAGGGGGTAAAAAAACTGTTGGTAGAAAACGTCGCCGTTTGTTCAAAATTCGTCCGCAACATCACCAAATGATTGATAGTTGAAGGGTTCTTGCCAGCTATGGCAAAATTAAATTCCATCATATTAAGAGGCAATCGAGAATATCCTTTCGGCGTGCGGAGTCCCGACCTGAGCACATGTATGTATCAAGAATACGGAAGACATCGTGGAGCAGCGGCATGCGCGTTAGACACCCAGATCTGCTGCTGAAGCCTTACTGGCGAAGGCTGCAGCAGCGTCCCGAAAGTCCGAAAAAACATCTGAGTCCATATCATTCTACCTGTAGATCCACTGCTTTACGTCACGTCACAGACACAACCAACTGGTTGTCTACAGCAGCGAGGGTACCTCACACCACTTAGCCGCCTTGGCTACCAGCAGCTCGAGGGATCGTGAATGGTTGGACCTACATGTAGATTTGCGGACTTTCGGGACCGCAGCTATCTGCAGCCTTCGACAGCACGACCCCAGCAACAGATCTGAACGTGTCAACGCGAAAGGCCCTGCTCCATGATTACCTCTACTCAGTTTTTTGCTCAGGTCCAGACTCCGCAACACAAATTGCATTCTTTGAGCACTCACCGTGTCGCCCGCTTTCATTGCATTGGTGGATTTTGGTATTGGTTTGAGAGAAGGTGTGTGGATATAGGCTACGTGGTATGCCTGTGGAGACAAGCCCCGACCGCTGCTCTGTGACAACTCAAGGAGGGTCCCTTGCGCAATGCGTTCCGACCAGTCTGGCGTTGCTTGTTGGGTGCTTCCTAGGCCGATTCCGACACCAGACGAAATCGAGGTCGGCGGGCAAGAACCCCGTAAGGGACGCATCAAGCTCCATGTCTACATTCCATCGGAAATCAGTGTTGATGGAGTTCGTGGAGCAATACAGTAGGTGGTATCACAGCCACATTGTATGTTTTTGGAGCGTTGTTGTAGGCTGATTGTTTTGTTTTCCAACTGCTGTAGACGAAAGTTGCTCCGCGTGCGGAGCTCCCCCCTGACACTATACTCCCGGCTCAACCTTAAGAGATATCTACTACCTTGCAGATACGACGACATGCACCGACGTCTACGAAAAGTGTGTGGAAAACGGTGCCGGTCTTTCTCAATATCATCTGCAACAACTTGTGACTGATCGGTAACAAGGACGGGGTGGATTTGGCCCATCTGCTCGAAAAATAGACAGGATTCCTGCATATCTTGATTTCCAAAGTCTAACTCCAGTACGAATCTACCATCGCGCCGCAACGGCCCGTAGACGTCGCTTGTGTACAATGCTAGTAGCGTAGATTGTGTCCTTGAGATGCAGTATCGATTTGCGGTCCGCAATGTTCACACAATCCTGATATTATCGAGTTCGGTGAGCTACAAGCAGAATTGTTGAAGCTGCTGTACGGTCCAATTTTCGAACGCTGTAGCAACAATACCTCATGACCAGACCTGCTGGAGCCGTGCTGGCAAACATTGCAGCAGCGGCCCCAAAAGTCTGAGAAATGCCTGAGTCCATACCATTCTATATCCGCTGCTGTACAAACTGCTGAACTACAGTGGTGAGTGTACCTCACACCGCTAGCCGACTTGGCTACAAGAAGGGCGGGGGATCATGAATTGGTATACTTTTCGGACCGCAGCTATCTGCAGCCTTCGACAGCACGACCCCAGCAAAAGGTCTTCATGTGCCAACGCTCACGGTGCTACTACATGACTTCCTCTATTGAAAGTGTGCTCAGGTTGGGAATCCCCAACGGAAGTACATTCTTAGCACTCACCGTGTCACCCCTTTTCAGTTGGTTTGTATTGAGAGGTATTGTCTCGATCATCGAGGTACCGAGAGTTGTTGTGAATGGACTGGGTTGTTCCGATATTTTAGAAAAATAAAATTGTGTCGGAGAAGCCGAAATATGAAACATCGGAGGCACGGAGCGACAGGGCGAGGGATCTCGCTCCATGCCCCCCCCCCGTGGAAAGGGGGTTCCGTCGAAAGAAAGAGACATTTGGCTCCATTTCCCTTGACAATGCACCGAACGTTCATCCGTACTGGCCGTGACCTACATTTCGAGAAACTCCTACACAAATACAGTAGCCCACGAAAAATGACAAAAAACAGGATGGTCTGCTGCGGATTTATTTCCGGTCAAACACTTCGCAGACAGCTTTTTCTCAGGGAACTACAAAAAAAAACGGAACTGTAACGCGGCCATTAAGTGTCCACCGGCAGCAACAACGGAAGCAAAAAGAAACGAAAAAAGAAAACGACCAAAAACGCGCGAAGAAAACGACAACACATGCACAAGGCAGGTACCGGCTAGGGATACCTCTCATCGTTTTTCTCGTCTACGTCTCATCTTGGTTCTGTCTGGGATGGTTTTGCTGCGGTAATGATCGGAGTGCTGGGATGGCGCCGCGTGATGCGTCGTTGGAAACAAAATAATTTCTGGGTGGGGGGGAAGTAGAACTATTGTGATGGAAACAGGTGCCTCCCTCAGAAGGGGTTGCGTGGGTAGATCGTACTTATTTCTCGCCGCCGAAGGGCACAAACATTCCGGGATCCTTCAGCGAAAATGTGCATGGCCTGGTAAACATACGATAGCTTCTCTGCACGTGCTAGATACAGCCACCCGCACAGAAACGAACCAATAGGCAAAACATCGGGAATGGATCCTAGAAACATCGTCTCAACTTTCATATTCCGAATCCGATTTATTTTGTTCCGATTTAATCGCATGATCCGTTCCGATTCATGTTCCAAATGGACTGTGGAAGGCCAGGGGTTTGATGCCTTGCTTGATCCCGTGTCAAACACGTTTTTTCTGTGCTTGGACGAAATATATAAGTATCGAATTCAGCGAGGTTCTCTCGAGGCACATTATGTGGCGTTACCGTCAAAGTATATCGATATTTAGGCCGTTCAGATCTCAGAGGCTGCGACATTTGCCCCACATCCCAATCCACCCTCTGGTTTATGGATTTTGGTTACACCTTTCGCATTGGACGGCATCAACATTCTGTTGGACATTCATCACATTTGTGTGCACGAGGCACGTACAGAGTGCATTTGAGATGTATGTAATTCTAGATGTTTTGCAACTCACGTGTTACAGGGGGAGGGTTCTACGAAGGGACTGGGTTGTTTCACGTCCAACGAACTCTCCCATCTCACCTACACCCATTCTATTCCCTTCCTTGCGCCATTCCCCACCAGTGTTTGCCCTAGGCATCATACCGTACTTCATTCGAGTCGTGCGCTTGGTGGTCGCGTACAACCAGTCGTACCGAGCCAAGTTCGCCCGGTTTGTCAAGTGGACGCCCATGATGCGCATCTGGGCAGGCGCGAGCATTGGTCTCGTTCTCCGAGCAGTATTTTTCTTCGGCAGCAAGCCAGTTCACTTCTCAAGGTGTGTCCAAGTGTTGATGGTACGATAGACCGCACGTAAGACGTGGGTTCCGTGTACCGCTGTGAGATAGGCAACCTGGTGAGCAGATTTTGTCTTTGACCGGCCCTGGAATCGAGCTGATTTGCATCATCACTCGCTGCTCGCAGGCAAGACGGAACGTTTCATTCAGAGAATCCCAAGACCGTATCAGCGAACCCTTTTCGTAGACAATATTTTCTCCCGACAACCGTAAGCAATCCTTCGCTACTCTGTCGTTCCTCGACCCGAAAAATCCAAACGTTCTTGTCTGCCGTCCCCCCGACCCGGCCCTTGTCGCACATAGCAACGCACACGAGTGCTTCTACTTCGACGACATCCTTCTGATGACGGGAGCCTGCGCGTTCGCCGGGGTACCGATACTTCTTATCGCCCGGAGTCTCATACACGTGTTCGACGCATTCAGGATCCGTCAGGAAATGGAGAGAGCGATCGGAATTTGCATGTCCCTCTCAAGTAAGGCGGTCGGTGTATTCTCACAATGGATGCCACCGCGGCCCCCCTCGCGGTAGCAGCGCCCTCTTGGAAGCATTCAATTTCGCTCACGAAGCAGCCACGGCTGGACCAAAGATATGTCTAGCGATGTCGGGACTTGTTGATTGGCGTCGCTAGATTCGAATGGCTTTCCACACAGGAAATTCCCTTTAGGTACGGACTTGATATTGTTAGTCTCTTGGCAAGATGGTGGATGCAGGCGCTGTAGACAATGCATATGTATATACAATTAGAAAATGTGACACGCGGAAGTATTCAAGCGTCCGCGAACGACTCGCACAATAATATATTTACGTTTCGTCGTGAATATATCATAACATCGAGTGGTATGGTTGAGTTTTATGGATGTGTTATCGTTGCTTCCCAACTCAGGGGATCCCCAATTTTCTCTTCGGCCAAGTAAGTGAGCTGCGCGCACCCCACACCCTGCAAAAGCTAACGCGGGTCATGTAT